AACATTTAAAAATGATCAACGAAAAAACTAAACTTTTTAAAGCGTTCTTGCGTACGACGGAACCGTGTAAACTTGCAGCTTTTAAAAAACAGAAACAAGCTAACCGCCGAGTTAAGGAAGACAAAAACATTTTACTATAATAACTTTTTTTTGAGGTGTCCAAAAAGCACCCTGAAAGAGTATGGAAGATAATAAATGAGGTTCTAAGAGGACAAAACGCGAAATGTAACACAACTGAATTAACAATAGGCAACAACAAACTTTCAGGGGTCCCATTAGCCGATCATTTCAATACGTACTTTGTGGATATGGTTAGACCGCTGGTAACATCACTGGTTCGAAACCCGGGTACCAATGTAGTGAAACCGCATTTCTTGAACCTACGGATGAAATCGAGATTTGTCGCACATTTATGAGATTAAAAAACACCCACTCAACAGACACAGAGGACGTTCAGATAAAGCCTGTAAAATACGTAATTGATGCTATCGCTCCCTGTCTAAACTACATATGTAATCTAGTTCTAGAGTTTGGTTGCTTGCCCAGTGGAATGAAAAAGGCGAAAGTTTTGGTCATCTTTAAAGGAGGAGAGAAAAACAACTTTAACAATTATAGGCGAGTATCCATTCTTCCGGTGTTCTCTAAAGAACTTCAGAGAATAATTTTTTCACGCATCAATATTTTTTTCTCTAAACACGACATACTAATAGACAGTCAACATGGCTTTCGCAAGGGAAAATCAACAGAATCAGCACTTTTAACAATGAAGGAACTTATGATTAAGTATATTGAAGGAAATCGGCTTACCCTCGGAGTATTTATTGACTATAGTAAGGCATTCGATTACATAAATCACGAGATGTTGCTAAAAAAGTTGCACGCATACGGCATCCGCGGTGTTGCCCAATCGTTGTTTCAGTCTTATATTTACGACCGGAAACAGTGCGTATCAATAGATAATAACATTTCATCTTTCAAATTAGTTATTGCCGGGGTTCCACAAGGAAGTGTTCTAGGGCCGTTCCTTTTCAATGTGTATATTAATTATGTTGTTCAGCAAGATAGTAACGCAGTCTACGTGATCTATGCGAATTGCATGAGCCTGTTTATTTCCGGATGGGATACAAATGAAACAATTTTAAAAGCTAAAAGGGAACTTTCGAAACTGTGGCACTGGTCCAATGAGAATGGTCTAAAAATAAATACAAATAAATCTAAGGCTATTTTATTCAAAACTACACATAAGCAGACAAAAACAATACACGATTTATTATTCGGTGATACTTCTATTGAAATAGTTAACAAACACCGGATCCTTATATATTTGGTCATATCGCTTAGACCTTTTTTATATCTGCCACGTGTATTGGTGTGTGTTTTCTTGTGACCATTTTTTTTTTGACAGTTTAGTATCATAAGAATTAAGATCAAAACAATATAGCCCTTAGGTGGTTACGACTTTCTGTGTCGATCGTAGAAACGGGAAACATTTCGGAAACCTGTAGGTCCCTCGTCAGTCCAGCGAAAGTTACCCGATTTTGTGGATGGACTGACGAAGGATCTGCCGAATTCCGAAACACTTCTTGAATCTACGATTACCTAAGAAAATCCTAACCTTCTGATGACAAGACTGTTTTCATCTTATTGATCACAAGTGCTCATTTAAGTGTAAAAACGAGTAAATTCCTAAATAAGTAATTCATCCTCTCGGGGGCGTCTAAAAAATGCAGCTCTTATGTTCAGTCAGGTATTGTCAACTGGTGATATGTTAGTGAAATCGGGATTAGTATCTAAATTGGTATAAAATTTTTACATTTTGTAGGAGAACCAATTTTGCAAACAACTGTCCAAGTCCAAAGTACAGTTCATCGTCGTCGGCATCACGAAACTCACGGTACGTTGCCGGAACAACATTCTTATTTCCCACAAATAACTGCCGAATTCGCGTCTTCCACTGGTTTGTTTAGCGTCCCCGCCCGCCCACGCATGAAACGTTGTCCCGAAGTGGCAAGAAATGACGTCACCGAAGCCGGCCTGTCACGTTGCCGGATGTCATGATCCTGGAGGTTGGTCCTAGAAGTGGCGGAAAAAAGTACGATTGAACGCGAGTGTCGCTCTCGCCGAGGTGTCCCAACTCTTGGCTGCCGAAGTTTTCGTGGACTGTCAACCTGCAGCGAAACGAGCATCTGGCACGTCCACGACCGTCGACAGTTCGCGCATGCGTAGAGGTTCCTGAACCTTTTTTACCTGTCCTTGACGGACGTACGCTTGGTGCCGAGTGTCCCGATTTGAGATGAAATCACCCATATATAAATATATATATATATATGGGTGATTTCATCTTGAATCGGGCAGGCTAAAAGGGTCTAATTTTTAATTTTCACGAAAAAAATATATGTTTTGGGGGTATTTCTCAAGTGAAGGAGGGGCAAACCGCATGTTCTCCCGATTTTTTGTTCTCGAGTTACGAGCCGTAGAAGCCGCAGTGGCAGAAACTAGTGTTTTTGCCTGCCGTCGCAGGTCGCGTGTTTGACACCTTCTGCTGACGCTATTGTTTTCTCTACACCCTTTTAACTTTTCCCCCTCATTTAATATGTATTATAAAGATACCTTGATGTATTCAAATATTTTAAGAATTCGATTGTTTTCTAAAACACATGTCAAACTCGCCACTCCGGTCGCTTTTCGGTCACATTTGACAGGTCATTACTTTGTCTGTACTTAAGGTAAATTTTCTTTCTTTGGCTCTACAGAAAGCCCAAAGCAAGCCCATTATAGATATAATAATATCATTATGATATTTCTACTAGCCGCTCCGCTACCTTCACGTAAACGTTGTAAAAAATAACAAATTTTGAAAGTTTGAGGTCGATTTTCTCAAAAACCCCATTTTTGTAAATTTTTATTTTTTAAATTCTTTTAGACATATTAGTCTACTACAAGAAAAAACAGCCTAGAAATGTAATATTTTGGTTGTATGTCCTCTGTTTGAGCCGCAATCGCGTGAAATGTGTGAACATTTGTTATTTTTAACAACGTTTACGTGAAGGTAGCGGAGCGGCTACTCGGTAGATAATAATGATATTATTATATCTATAATTCGCTTGCTTTGGGCTTTCTGTAGAGCCAAAGAAAAAAAATTTACCTTAAGTACAGACAAAGTATTGACCTGTCAAATTTGACCGAAAAGCGACCGGAGTGACGAGTTTGACATGTTTTTTAGAAAACAATCAAATTCCTAAAACTATTTGAATACATCAAGGTATCTTTATAATACCTATTAAATGAGGCGGAAAAGTTAAAAGGGTGCAGAAAAAACAATAGCGCCAGCAGAGGGTGTCAAACACGTGACCTACGACGGCAGGCAAAAACACTAGTTTCTGCCACTGCGGCTTCTACGCTTCGTAACTCAAGAACAAAAAATCTGAGGAACTTGCGGTTTGCGCTCTCATTCTTTATAGAAATTCCCCTAAAACATATATTTTTTTCGTGAAAATTAAAAGCTGGACCCTTTCAGCCTGCCCGATATGGGAAATTTCATTTCAAATCGGGCAGAATAAAAAAGTCTGATTTTTAATTTCTTGGAAAAAAATACATGTTTTGAGGGCATTTATCAAATGAATGAGGGCGCAAACCGCATGTTTCCCAGATTTTTTGTTCTTCAGTTACGAAGCGTAGAAACCGCAGTGGCAGAAACTAGAGTTTTTGCCTGCCGTCGGAGGTCGCGTGTTTGACACCCTCTGCTGGCGCTATTGTTTTTTGTACACCCTTTTAACTTTCCCCCCTCATTTAATAGGTATTATAAAGATACCTTGATGTATTCGAATAGTTTTAGGAATTTTATTATTTTCTAAAAAACATGTTGCACTCGTAACTCCGGTCGCTTTTCGGTCAAATTTGACAGGTCATTACTTTGTCTGTACTTAAGGTAAATTTTTTTCTTTGGCTCTACAGAAAGCCCAAAGCAAGCCCATTATAGATATAATAATATCATTATTATCTACCGAGTAGCCGCTCCGCTACCTTCACGTAAACGTTGTGAAAAATAACAAATGTTCACACATTTCACGCGATTGCGGCTCAAACAGAGGACATACAACCAAAATATTACATTTCTAGACTGTTTTTTCTTGTAGTCGACTAATATGTCTAAAAGAATTTAAAAAATAAAAATTTACAAAAATGGGGTTTTTGAGAAAATCGACCTGAAACTTTCAACATTTGTTATTTCTTACAACGTTTACGTGAAGGTAGCGGAGCGGCTGGTCGACAGATCATAATGATATTATTATATCTATAATGGGCTTGCTTTGGACTTTCTGTAGAGCCAAAAAAAGAAAATTTACCTTAAGTACAGACAAAGTAATGACCTGTCAAATTTGACCGAAAAGCGACCGGAGTGACGAGTTTGACATGTGTTCTAGAAAACAATTAAAATTCCTAAAATTTTTTGAATACATCAAGGTATCTTCATAATACCTATTAAATGAGGGGGGAAAGTTAAAAGGGTGTAGAGAAAACAATAGCGTCAGCAGGGGGTGTCAAACACGCGACCTGCGACGGCAGGCAAAAACACTAGTTTCTGCCACTGCGGCTTGTACGGCTCGTAACTCGAGAACGAAAAATCGGGAGAACATGCGGTTTGCGCCCTCCTTCATTCGAGAAATACCCCTAAAACATATATTTTTTTCGTGAAAATTAAAAATTAGACCCTTTTAGCCTGCCCGATTTGAGATAAAATCACCCATTTATATATATATATATACGCGCGTGTGTGTGTGTGTGCGGGGGGGGGGGGGGGGGGGGGGGGGGCGGGTGGGGAGATTGAGGCGGGTTCGTCGGGCCCCGGGAAATCGAGGAATTTCCGCCTACTGTCTCAAGCCTTACCCCCGACTTGTGCGAGGGCGGAGCTTAGTCGGAATCACTGTTAACCTCCTCTCCCGACTTCGCGCCGCCTTTCCCATGCGCAGAACACAAACATTAGCCTACTCGCGAGGCGTATTCAATGCTGACGCGACTCTCCCCTGCGAAGGCTGGCGCGGACAAGTGTCTGCATAGTTTCGGAATCCTTGGTCTTCGTATATCGTCGAAAGTGATTTCAAACTCGTACGAACCGCAGGTCACAAGCTCGTGGTAAGTCTTTATTTTGACTCATTGTTATTTTCGTCGGACACCGGATTCAATAGAATGTTATCGAACGTCATTTTACGACAGGCGATATGTATAAAACAAAATGAACGGTTACATTAAAAAAAAAAAAAAGCTTTTTGAAAACAGTCTGGTTGGGCACGCGTGTCGTGAAATAAAATTTTTAGAATAATATTTGCGGCTCACGACGGAATTTAGTCAACAGTCACCTCCTTCCCACTTGTTTTCTATCGCGGCTTTTCGGGCGCGTGGAGGAGAGGTACGAAGCTGCGTCCATCACGTTGAGGTGGAAAGAGTATGGGACCATTCTGTGACGTCATGAACATTGCGCGCTGAATTTAAAATAAAACTCGCGCCCTCAATATTGCTGTAAAAAAATATTTTTTTTTCGCGGAAAATTTTATTTTTCGGAACGGGTGTCCCAACAAGACCGTTTAAAAAAGTACTTTTTTTTTCAGTGGCCCTTTTATTTCGTGCCCGGGTATAATGCAGATATTCAGTGATACATTCGTTAGTATCGCTTACAACATTATTGCGAAACTTGTCTAGCCGTGTCCGCGTTCACTGCGGCTGCCTGGTGTTTGCTATGATCCGTTTTGCTGTGTCCCATCACTGTGTGTCTCGTCATCTTGTGGAAGTAATTATGTATAAGGTATGCATGCCTACACGAATAACTGCGTTTCTCAATGGCTTCGACTTAAAACAATCACATTTTTCTGAAGATGTCTTATACGCACCACCTGGTGTCATTTCATACCGATTATATAGAGGTGTCATATTTTGTCTGTGTTATAAAATGTTTACTAGCCCCGTTGGTATGTGTAGTTTTATTTTGGCTAATAAGACACGCGTAAGTGACTAAAAGCGCGCTGTTACGACGGTCGATTCACGCGTGTTGCCTTCGCTTCGGTGCTTCCGACGCGTGCCCCCGATGGCCTTCATTCGCAACATCACAAGAAGAGCGCTACGGCCGTAGATTTTAGGAGCTGCTGGCCGGCTTCGCTTCCCGCCGTTGAAGTCATGTGTGGATGGCGGAGATACTGGGGAAAAACTAGGGAGAACGAAAGTTCGGTCTTGGTAGCCAACAAAATAGTACGTGTTTTTTTTTTATTAAATTGACTGAATCCAGGGTAACGACTTGGCATATCTAAATCACGAAGACCTCAATATTCAGATGATTGATTGCCTTTGGATTAAGCTAAAAAAAAATGGGCGGAGTTCCCTTTAAACTGGCGCTTCTTTGTGGCCGGACGGGGGTGAGACGCGGAAACAGCGCAGCCATCTCCCTACCGCTCCAATTATCTTAGGTCAGATGTACGCCGCTCCCTGAACTTTCGTGCGCGTCGGCGCGATAACGCGTCGCCGCAGAAGGCAGCAAAGTTTCGGATTCGGTGAAACTTCCAACTCGGTCGCGACTGAGCTCTCACTTATTCGAACGAAGGCTTACGGACCTCGGGGAAGCAATTCCTTTGATTGTATTTTTATTACATAAGTGATTCGATATTGCATCTTAGCGTGTAGTTGTATTAGACAAAGTTCTAGAGAATGGCGGCAGTTTTGTCGAGGTCGGGACAACGGCCCTTTTACGCGTGCTCCTGTTTTCCAGAAGATGAAGCCGCAGTTAAACTGATATATATATATATATATATATATATATATATATATATATATATATATGCAAGATGTTTCACGACAGGTGGACAAATTCGATATTGCAAAAACTACGCGACGTAAAAAAAAAAAAGGCTTGTGTCGTTTTGGTTTTCGGCCAGAGGCCTATCTAGGAAAATTATTAAAATCCGCGATATTTAAGTTGTTAATTATTTTTGCGTTTGGTTTCAATTTGAAAATTGCATGGAGAAAAACGGAGAAATAGTGCAATCAACCTCTGCTGCGCTGTCATCGCGCGACGCAGTTGAGGTTGGTTGCACTATTTCTCCACGGGGCGCGGTGCCGCCGAGGCCGGGTTGCGCTCCGATAGCAAACCGAAACTTAAAAACCCGTCGAATTTCTGCGGTTTTTCAGAAAGCCGTAAAATGCTTCGTGTGCTTTCTATCGTTCTGCAATTTGTTGGTTTAAGGTTTTCGATGATACTGAGCAATTTTTTTTTTTTTTTTATTTTAACCATCTCCTTAAACAAAATATCAAATAAGTTAATTACGCAAAAATAATTAACAACTTAATGATCTCGGACTTTAATAATTTTCCTAAATGGGCCCCTGGATCAGGACCAAAGCGCCATCTCGTGAAGCGGCCGCCAATGGCTATCTAGGAGCCGTTCCGCTCAGCCAATGGGAGAATGGACATTTCGCGTTCTAAAGCGGTTAGTGACGCCGCCGGCTCTGGTCCATTGGATAGTTAATGCTTTCGCATAAAAAAAAAGATGAATCCTTTAGTTAATCGAAAGCGAAGTCACAGCGATAGCTGCGACAGGTCACGACAAGACGCTGGGCATCGGCGTCAGGTTCACGCACCGTGGCACCGTGGTGTTGTGAGTGAGCAAAAGCGTTCGGGACAAAAAACACAACTGACCTTCTTGTTCCGAACGATTTTCTTTCTTTTTTGTTCCCGACCACGTAAAAGCGCGTCTACCGGCACGAGTCCTTGGCATTGACAGCGATATACAACAACATTTTGTTATTGGCTATTTTACAGTGGTAGCGGTCATGGGCTCGAATTCCCACCACTGGAAATGACGTCCGCTGTTTATTGATAAGATACATATTATAGATAACAATGATAGACAAGAAAGGTGGGTAACATAACGAGATAGATATAGTTATTTATTTGTTTGTTTATTTTTGTTCACCCTCAAGGCCCGGGGGCATTAGTGAGGGGAGTGGGAAAAAAAGATACAAAAAATACCGCACAATACGTTCAACATAAATACTCAAACAGTAGGGAACTGGTAGTTAGCTATACTAGTTCAAAAAATACTGTAGTCAACAATTGTTGTTCGTGATGCGGGTAAACGTTTTCAATCATTGAACGTTTTAGGAATGAGGGATGCCAAAAAAAATGAATTAAAGTGTCAAAACGGTTCACCGACTTCGTGACGATGATGAATGCGTATGAAAAAGAAAAAGAACGATGGTGGGATTATTAGCTTTAGATTGATTTGAGGAATATGGTGGTAGATCTTATTAAAACGACAAATGCGAGTAATTATTTGAAGATGTACGAGACTGGGAAGTAGTAAGCTATTTTTATTGATGTGACACTTGCAGTGTGATTATAATTGGCTAGTATAAAACGTGCGGACGTGTTCAGAACTTCCTGAGGTGAGTCAGGGAGATAATTAGTGTAGGAATCCTAGATGGAGGCTGCAGTACTCAAATTTAGACCGAACAATCGTTTTATAGAAAAACTTTAATGATGAAGGAGCTAGGCAGAAGTAACGTTTGAGATAGCCAAGCATCCGATTAGCATTGTTAGTCGCGTAATTCACGTCCAGCTGCTAGAAAAAATCGGCGCGTATGATGACGCCCAGGTACTTGAATGAATCTACAAGCTGTAAAGATGTGCGATGAAGGTTATAAGTAGCAGAGGATTTAGCTTCACGTGTTATGCGCATCGTTTTGCATTTGGTAATAAGCTGCATAGACCAGAGTTCACACCACTGCAAAGTTAAATCTAAACCATGTTGCAATTTTTGTGAGTTGGAGTCGCTGAATATAATATGGTCATCAACAAAGAGTTTTATTTAATAAGAAATGAAGTCTGCAAGTCGTTATTATAGAGCAAAAATTGAAGGGACTTAAGACGGACCCTTGAGGCACACAAGAAGAGACAGATGCGAGAGGGGAGTTTGCCCCATTACACGCTACGAATTGAGAGCGATTAGTTAAAAATGAAAAAAACAATCTAATTAAACACATTAGAGTCAATGTTAAGTTTTCCCAGGTTAAGCAATAGAAGTTTATGTGACACCTTGTCGAAAGCTTCTGAAAAATATAAAAGATGCCGTCCACCTGAGGTCCCTCACAGGAGTGGTATGACAATTTTTGGTGAAAAAGAGGAGTTGTGTTTCACAAGCAAAATATTTCCTTAGCCTATGTTGGGGTAGAGGAAATAACGAATTTATTTCCAGGAAGATGTTGAGTTGTGTATACATTACGTGTTCAAATACAAAACACTGGCTAGTGAAATAGGCCTCTCATTAAATTTGATTAGTGAGATAGGCCTCTAATTAATATGAGAGTGCTTATGAGCAGATTTATGCTAAATAATTACTTTACCAATTTTCCAGTTGCTAGGTAGAAATGAAGTGTCAAGGGATTGTTGAAAGATGTGTGCAAGAATTAGGTAATAGCACTAACTTGTACCTTTGAGGAATTGTGAGTTAATTTCATCTAGTCCGGTTGCCGAAAACGCCTTCAGACCGTTCAGGAGTTGTAAACTCTGTCAGGACAAATGACGACCGGATTCATTAACGAGAAAAATTCAGAATGATAGGTTGGAGCGGCATTGTCAGGCGAGTCATAAAATGACTTAATAAACACTTCCTGAAGCATTACAGCACATAGTGACTCGTCAATCAAATTTTTGTCTGCTGTTATCAGCGAGATAATAGACGTATCCGCGGTGAGACATTACGTTCCAAAATTGACGTGGGTTATTTATTAGCGTGACTGGAAGAGGGTGACTAAAAAATTAAGCTCAGCATTTTGAACAGCTTTTCGTGACACTGAGCAGCAGCTAAATAATCCTGCCATCGGACAGGACACGATGTGAGCCAGGCGGCTCTAAATAAGCGTTTATTTTTATTGGACAACGGAGGAGCGCTTTGTTAATCGACGGAGAATAAGGATTTGAGATTATGCTTTTTAGGAATATGTATTTTTCAGTAAACGAAACCATCTTTTCCTCAAAAAGAGTCCAATTGGTCTCTACAGAGCGCTCCCAGAGTATCTAGAAAAGTGCATCTGAGAAATTGCCCAATTTAACGTTAATGACATAAAAATTGACAACTATAATCTCGAATA